AAAGGCCCGATGATGTCGTGGGCGCCGTCCCCCACAACGCGCTCAGTCTGGAGCTACCTGCTCCTTCCTCTACACGGCCGCCCTGCGTTACGATCAAAGGCCTGCCAGGCCTTGGGCGTAAACTCGCTCGCAGGGAAGCCGGAGCGTCGCCCTGTTCTCTTTTCTCTCTCCGAGGCCTGTAGGCCCTACCCCGTCGGGAGAGAGAGCAAGGACACGAGCTACCTTGCTCGTTTCCACTTCTAAAATGGCTGCCGACCACGAGGCAGCCCAGGCTTATATAGCCTGTCTCATTCTCGCATGTAAATCTCGCGAGAGTTGAACTCCCGCGAGATTTCAACCTCCCGCTTTCCCCTATTGGTCAAGTAGCCCCCAAAAGGCGGGACTTGGAGACTACTTGACCAATCCTATGCGTTGAGGCCTTTTCCAGGCCGACGCAACTAAGAGCCCCTCCCGACAGGTCGGGGTGGCTCCTTTCTGTTTAAAGTACAGTGAATATTTTAAAATTTGCATATGTACCTATGAATTAGCTTATGCAGTTTGAATGTGAATCTCTGCCTTTTCTTGTCCTCTTTTTTAGCAATCTGTCAGTTGGGCACCTAATTCAGGTGAAAGACAATGAGCTAAAGCAGTGGCATCGCTGGTGTGTGTGTGTACAGTGGTGCAACCTGCACTGGGTGACATCCCAGAAGAAGAGTGACACTCAATCAGACTCTCCTCCAGAGACTGTGGAAGGAATAAGTGTGCACCTTCTTTTTTTGTTGCTGAGGCCATGGCCACTTCAGGAGGGGGTTGCGCCGGCAGTCTGATCATGAGCAGAGAGCTGTCATAGTGGTGTACTCATGAGTAGGGGGCCGTTGCTGCCCCTACTTGAGAATAGGTCACTAGGATGCCTCCCTACTCATGAGTAGACCGCCACATGAGTAGACCGCCACTTCCCTTTGCTGCAGGGAAGGAGAAAGGGTTAGTGGACCCTTTTGACCATGCCCTTGGCAGCCCCTCCCCAACTGGTGACACTGGAGGGGAAATGGCACTGAGCTGAAGCTGGGCTGGGGAACCACTTAAAGTGAAGATATGTTGCCACAAGTTTCTTTTACCCAGTTTTACTTAAATGGTGGGTGGCAATAATAGGGAGGCATGTCACTAACAGCTACATATGTACCTATGACATGTACTTAGAATCCCTAAACTGGAGGTGCATCTATAGTGTAGAAAGAATGCAGTTCAACATCACTTTAACTGCCATGGCTCCATCCTACAGAATTTTGGAACTCCTAGTTTTGTGAGGCACCAGTACTCTTTGGTAGAGAAGGTTAAAGACCT